CCAACGCTGTGGTTGCCTACACATGCATGTCTTTTAATGCCAATTGATTACCATAACTTTTAATTAGATTTTGAAGAAATGGGACCGTAGAGTTTTTTTTTTTACTTTTTCATCAACTACTTCCCGCACTCAAGAAATGACATTTCTAAAGCTTTAATACACTGTTCCCTATGAGAACAGTCGAGTATATTAAAACTTTGGTTCGTGGACTTGTTGAAATAGTAATTGTGAGTTCAATCTCTGGGCCGGAGTGTGTACTTAATCAAACCCAGCGGAAACAGGGTGAGCAATAACTAACCTGTACTAAAAAGAAGAATTAGACGCGATATCTATATATATGGTCAGTGGAACGAGAACAGTCTACCCCCGTATATTAAATAAAGGGTTAAGTTCGGAATTCTATGTAGGCTACCCGGTTCGATATTCACCTGATGAAGGCCGGAGGGCACAACGGCCGAATCGTCGTGATAACAACAACGAAGAAGAGAACAATAGTCCAAATGTAAATAACTCCTTAACCCAGAAATTCAGACGTAATTCTGAATGTTGGTTGAGAAGTGCCATTCCTCTCCAAAAGAGATACTGGTTTCTACGTGCAAATGTGTCAAATAGACATATATTTCTGATATATACATATATATATATATATATATATATATATATATATATATATAATAGTTTGATAATTAGTATGGATAATTCGAAATAGGATATAAATCCAAAGATCGCTCAATGTAAGAACAGAGTAATAATAATAATAATGAAAGCGGGTACTTTAAAAATCTATGGTAATATTTTATTTCGCGAAATCAAATATTACCATGGATTATCATTATATATATATATATATATATATATATATATATATATATATATGACGTCATACATGGGCAAAGTCCAACAATTATTTTTTAAGACATTTTTTATGTTTATACGTTCTGTTACTTTTTAAGTAAATGCTCTGTTTATAATAAACAGTATTAACAACATTTACCGGCCTGAATATCCGAGAAATTTTCATGGAAAATATCCATCCTCTGACAGTAATCGAACCTGTATTCTATACAGAACCGTCAAATAGCCTGACGTGCCGTAACCGATTGGGCCACAGAGGATCGTTTGGTTAGAAAGGTCGATTTTACTGTTTTCTGTGGCCCAATCGGTTAAGGCTCCTTAGGTTATATGACGGTTCCGTATAGGATACAGGTTCGATTCCTGTTGGAGGATGCATATTTTCTATGAAAATTTCTCGGACATTCAGGCCGGTAAATGCTGTTAATACTGTTTATTATAAACAGATGCAAAAATGTATAGAAAATACGTATCATTTTCTTTAATAAGATTTCTCGAATATTCAGGCCGGTATATGAAAATAAATAAGTATACTGTTTAATAAATAAACGGATAATATTCAAATATTATTAAATAATAATAATAATAATAATATATAGGTAAAATGCGAACAAATGGTGTATAAACTTCTAGGATTTATATGCAGACATCTTCATATCATGACCTAAATAAAGTTAAATAGTTTATTTTCCTGACTGTGGAACTCCCTTCCAGGTTCTTCAAAAATGTTAATGCAACATCAATCACTACCTTCTGTTTTCCTTGTGCACTCTGACGTCTCGCTAGATCAGTTACGACTGAATAGTGAGTTCGATCATCACCGAGTACCTCTTACTTGTGCCACATCTAAACTATGCTTAGAAAACCGCCAACATCTTCTGTTTTCCTAAATTCTATTCTTTTCTTTTCTTTTCACTAAAGCCATATCATTCTCTTTCCCTTTTAGTAACCACTTGTGTCTTAGGGGTTTTATCACCTTCCTTAGGGTGAAAGGATTAAAAAAAATGTTAGTGGTCAGCACTCAGAAAAGCCCAAACATATTATGGGTTTCAAATGAAATTGACTCTATAATGTGAATAGGAATTTTGTTTAATTTATTTGTTTAATAAATCCTAGCAGATATAAATAAGAGTTACACGAACAGCTGGATATAATAATAATAATAATAATAATAATAATAATAATAATAATAATATTAAATCGTCTTCTACCAATATCTTGCGTGTTGCTGTTGTAAATCTTTATGTGAGGCAAACCGTTATTTGCGGGTTTGAGGATAAAAGAAAAGAAAAAAAAAAACGTGGCCATTCTACTGATAACGAGGTACATTTCAATACCCCCAGAAGTAAAGGCATAATGTCGACGAAGGTAACAGCATTCACTAAAGACATTGCTAGATTATATCGATAAACAGAAAAACAAAAAGTACGTTATTGCGCACAAGTCATAAGAAAGATAAAATATGTGACATTTCACAGAAGAGCATTCCTCAGTCGCAGTGACCGAGAAGGAGAACTCGGTTAATATTGCAAAAACGAAAAGAACCCCTTATATGTTGTTTTCGTTAAGTCTACTTCTTTAGGTTGTTAGCTACATATTGGGGGACATCAAAATCAAGAAAATACAGAAATTTAATTATCTAGGTAGTGTAGTAACAGATGAGAGAGAAAATCCAAATGCACCTAAGAATAGCAAAAGATGTCTTCCAGAAATGAAACAAAGTAATAAGACATAGGAAAATATCATTAGAAACAAAGAAAAGAGTGCTGGTCTTCTGTGTAATATCCAATCTATATGACAATGAATGCTGAACAATTACCTCAAAGATGAAGAAGACTTGAAGGCGACATGAGACGTGGTTCTCCCAACAAATGCTAAGAACATGGACAGAATGAGGAAAGGGAATTTAACACTCACAGGACATACTGAAGGCAAAAGAAACATATTTAATAAGTTTGGATGGATGGTAGAACAAGGACAATGAAGGAAAGTAAATGGGAAATTCTTTCAGATAAAAGTAAATAATACTGATATACAGGGTGCGATGGATAAATTGTCGTCTAAACGACGCAAAAAAAAAAAAAAATGAAAATAACACTGACATCTCATTTTAACCGGTATACAGGGTGCGATGGATAAATTGTCGTCTAAACGTCGCAAAAAAAAAAATGAAAATAATACTGACATCTCATTTTTAACAGGTATACAGGGTGCGATGGATAAATTGTCGTGTAAATGATGCAAAAATGAAAATAACACTGACATCTCATTTTAACAGATATACAGGGTGCGATGGATAAATTTTGTCATCTAAATGACGGTATTATGAAAATAACACTGACATTTCATTCTAGCAGATATATTTATCAAAATTATACAAAAGTACCTTGAAATACTAAAAAGTAAATTTATTCAATAAAATCGCCATTGGCTTCAACCACGGCCTCCAGACGACTTCGAAATCTCTAGCATCTTTTTGGGGCGGTCTCCTTGTTTAAGTTAGTGAATGCTGCCATCATCATTGTTTTCAGTTCATCTTTGGTGTTACAAAAGGTTTTGTTGGTCTCTCGCTCAACTGCGCCCCACACATCATAATCAACGGGGATTGCAGTCTGGGAAATTAGGTGACCACATGTAAGTGGTGATGAAGCCGCAGAAATTGTCTGACAGCCATCACTGGCTTCTCCTGCTTGTGTGGCATGATGCAGAGTCCAGTTGCTAGACAACTTCCAGCAATCACCCTATTGACCCAGGGCAGCACTACCTCCTCAAGGTACTTGATCTAGGCCTCCGTGTTGAGTCTGAGACTCTATGGTAAGATGAATGGAGGCATAACGTCGACATCACTAATAATCACTCCAAAAACCTTCGTAATCACCATTAGATACATCCAACTCTTTCCGAACCCTCTGCACTGCCCTCAGACTGAGACCCAACAATTTGAAATGTTCGTACTAGAGCTTCCGGCGCGAATGCCAAGCAGTACAGCATGCCGTTTCCAATTTTCTGGCAGAGTGAATTGCGTCATGGTGCTCTTTTCTCATAGACGGTGCCAATTGACCCTAATATACTGTGAAGTCGACAAAATCAAAAACGAACACCGTGTATGCGCGAAATTAAAAATATAAAATGGCGACAACTCACGCATCACACCCTGTACAATGTGTTTCGGTTCCATCCGAGTTCCAGCGGTTAAACCATAATAAAATTATAGCATTCTCTATTCTTCTATTGAAATGTATTATTTTCTTAAGTGTTTACAGCACCTTTAACTCGAGGTGGGCATTAACACTCATATTGACAATCGCAGTTTTGTTATCACAGCTAGCAATAAATAATAAACCCTTTTGTTGGTAGGTCGTAATACGTGTACGCAGCCTTGTGAGTGATGAATTATTTCACACTAAACAATCCCTTTCTCACAGCTAATCTACCGCAACTCTATCCTATTTTCAGAGCAAATATTCAAACGAATTACATTTCTTAGTTCCATCAGTTCAGACCTTCACATCTAGGATTCACCATGCCACGCGCACAGGGTCGAAATCATTCCCTTCGTATTTCGTTGATAAGGAGGAATTTTCCCTGACAGCGTATTCGCCATGACTTTGTGGAACAAACTCCCAAGAGGATCACTAAGATTTTAATCACTTCAAGTCTAGGTTCAATCGTTATCTATCCTACATATCCTCATAACATGTAGTTCTTACTTACTCTCTTTACGTCCATACAACAGCCTCATTCAATATCCCTCCAGTGGCTCTTGGGTTTGTAATGGGTGGACCACAATATAAATAGGTCGGTCTCTTGGTATTGACTAATCTTGTAATATGGCATAGGATCACAAGTATGATGATTTTCTAAACGTAGCTTAGATGCAGCACAAGGCCGAAAGTATGGGACACCCAGTAAGGATCAAACTCATTGTTCAACCGGACAAACATGCTAACCATTACATTATGTCGAGGTACAAGATCACAAGTTTGATGCTGTTCGTGATTGACTACGGAAAATAATAGTCGAGATTGCTTTTACGCTATTTTTTTCTTTGCCTTTTAAGTTTGTTTTTTCAATAAGAAATATGTATTTATCTATTTTATTGATATTTACTTATTCTGTACGTTTTAAATTTATTTATTTATTTTTAGGTGCCACAAAATATAAACTGGAAAGGGAAGCGGAAGTTTATCACCAGGAAAACTCCGAAGAAGAAAGTCACGGAAGCTTATCGTCAGACAATGGCTTTAAGCTTGGTTGGAAAGCCATTATCAGCTCTTTAAAAATCCTCACAAGCAACCCAACGTTTATGTTCTTAAACTTGGCAGCGGCTTGCGAAGGTAAGGCATTTATTTGAAAAGAAATGATGACAGAAAATCTAAGCTGTATGAATGAGGTACACCCTTGTGCAAATTAACTGAAACAGCGGCTTTAGTTTCCTACCCACTTGAGTGACAATGTGTAATCGATTTCTATTTTTTCCTCAGATTAGGTCATTTGCAGTGGTGTGCAGTAATATGATTCTATTTTTGGGGTGTACGATGAAATTTGTTTGGCCTTGAAAAATATTGCGTCATCCGTGATTGCATCAGATTTTCATCACGCCCAGACAGTATTGTCTCGACTGTTGATTAGTTGTCCTACGGCCATTGTCTACTATGGACGTTACTCCAAGGAAGCGTACGAAAATTGTAACGCTGCACGAACACAATAGCAAGCCTTACCAGTGAGCAAATCAAAATAATATTGACTGGTTCGGAAACTCTCCAATCGAGAATCTGTGGTCAATCTCCAAGGAAAGACTTCGTGGAATGCACATACGAAGTACTAATATATCCACTGGCTCATGTTTCATTGAAAAAATATGAAAAAAAAGTAAATAATAACGGAATTATTCGTCTTGTTTCAATTAATTTGCACAAGGTTGTATTTAGCTGCAGGTAACATGAATACGAATAGTGTAAGGGTTCGTGAAATTGTAACCGGCGATCCATGTTCAAATTACGCTCGATTCTGTTTCGTTCGTATTAATGCCTTCCAAGCAGTACCTCTCCTTCCGGTGAGGGCTGGGATCAAATTATCCAGCGTCTGAGACGTCCCCTAAGAGAGGAAGTGCCGAGGGGTCATGAATAATTTTTCAACGGTATTGCCGTTAAGCCCACTTTAAACATCGATCTTGTATCACAGTCGGTAGTTACGCCCTTGGTAAAGATATGAATGTATCTTCCTCCAGACAGGGTTTAAACAACAGAGCATATTGGGCTCTCTTGCCTTTGGGGTGGCAACTAATCCAAACCAGCCTGGAGAAGGTTACCTAGACACACCATGGCTGCAACGACTGTAGTACCTTTGGCGTCAGTACGACTCTCATGGGCTACGGAGCGCATGACGTAGCGTAACACGAATATCCTTATTCACCAGTCTTTGTTTGATGTTTGTTCATCATTATACGAGATTGTGTGATTTAAACTAAAATTGAGTGGTAGGAAAAATAAATTCCCATTCGAATCTGTTCCCGCTGACAGCTAACGTGTAAACCGGAACAACGTTTCACACGGGACACTGTTTCCTGCACACCGTAAACAATAATACTATCGCTCTTACTCTGGAACTTTGGTATAACCTTCACCAGTCTCAAAGAACAAACTGCTCCTAAAACAAAAAGTCAGCTCTTTTTATCCTTTCTTGGTCTTGGGCAAGAAACCGAGATCTCTCGCTTGTGTTAGCCCCGTTCTCGCCGATAACGCATGCGCTGTGTCACTTCAATATTGATTTTTCGGAGTTCGCCTCGCAGGTCTATGATGTCTACAAGCACATGTACAAACAATTCGCTTTCTCTTGCTTCAGCGAGGTATGTCTCCATCCAAGAGATCTGTACGGAAAGCGTTCAACTATTTAATATTAACCTCCTTGACTACTTTCTAACCTCCTGCTCTGACAAATGCCTATTAAAATTTTATTTCCACTAGGAACGTCAGCGCGCTCCCAAACCAAAGCCATCCCTTGATGCACCTTTCCTTAGAACGATTCTTCGTTATGCAGAGTCACACTGGGACAGCTTTCGATCCTACATGATGAAAACTCCCCTCCCAACCCTCCTCGAGCATGCTCCCTCAAAACCTTCTGCCCTTGTCACTGATTGGATTCTTTCTAGAATGGAGAGTTTTATACCACAAGAAAATTCCAGCAAAAAACAGTCAACCTTGGTTCACCCCTGAAAGCGCTGCAACCATAACTCACCGAAACTAGTACTTTAATATCTGTCGCAAGGAGCGATGTAGTTCTGCCCTCACTGCAGTCAGAACTGCCCACAATCGCCGCAAAAAAGTTCTAGAAAACGCCAAGTGCAGCTACGTACGAGCAGCCCAGACCAAGGTTGAAAAGAAACAAATTGGATCACGTGAATTCTGGAAGATCACCCACCAAATCATGAACAGAGGTAAAGCGACTGTGTCCACAATATTAAATGGCTCGAGGTCATATCCTCCTCGACAGATAAGGCGAACATCTTCGCCTCCACCTTTACCTCTAACTCAATGTTTGATGACAAAGGCCATCCCCTCCCCAGGTTCTCACGTCTCCCTGAGCACAATCTCGGTAATATTACCGTCACAGCACGAGAAGTCTCTTTACCCTAAGAAAGCCACTGATCCAGACAAAATTCAAGTGGTTATCCTTAAGAACATCAACCCGGAATTATCCCCAATCTTAGCAAAGCTATTCAACCGCTTCTCGAAGGAAAAATCCTTCTCCGGCCACTGGAAAGAATCAAGTGTATGCCCGATTTTCAAGAACACAGAGCAGCGATCTTTCCCCTCCCAATACAGACCCATCATTTTCCTCAGTATAATCAGCAAGTTTTTTGAGGCCGTAATCAATTAAAATGTCGCCAAGCCCCTAGAAAACAGTATGGATTTCGGTCGGGCCGATCCACTGTTGATGTCCTAACTACAATGACGACAAACACACCTCGAGGACCATAGAACTAGATATCTCAAAGGTTTTCGACAAGGTGTGGCACAAAGGCTTACTACACCATCTATCCAGTTATGGATTCACTGGAAAAGTCTTTTCGATCATAAAATACTTCTTAACAGGTAGGCCACTGAAGGTAGTTATCAGTGACCAGCCCTCCGGAACCCTAGAGGTCAACATAGACGTCCCAAGGGGCACTCCACGGACCAACCCTCCTTTTGCTCTATATAAATGATCTGCCTACGAATATACTCAGATCATCTGTAAACATCTATGCCGATGATACGACTATTTATGGGCGCACCTCTAAAATTCTTGATGGTCAGAAATTGGCGACTGATCTCTCTTCCAATCTTTCACAAATTACCCAATGGGGTAAAAACTGGCTGTTCTCAAAGACCAAGCTAGTTACATTCCATCATCGCTGATCTGACACTGAAGTACTACCAATCCTCTCGGGGAAGCACCGTACCTTGAAAGACTGCTGGGTCTCAAACACACACCCGACCTCAAGTGGAACTCGTACATATGATCCATTGCTAAGAATGCAGGTAAAATGGTCAGCTCACTGTATCGCTCCAGTAAGTACCCGACTCCACCTGCTATCCTCTACCTTTACAAGAGCCAAATCAGGCTAAAAATGAAGTATTGTTGTCATATTTAGACGGGAGCTGCCCAGATATCACTCTCCAGCCTTGATAGTGTTCAAAAGCGTCTCCGGGCCCTTGACGGTAACAAATTATTCTCCATCCTTGAACCTCGCTCCCGCAGGCAGGATGTGGTAACCCTCTCACTGTTCTACTGATACTTCCACGGAAAGTGCTCGGACGAGGCAAACCTTCATAGCAAGAGCACGCCATGCCACTTACATAGTAGAAAATCTCCCACATTCCCTCCATATTCCGTCAGCGTAAATTAAGTTCCATTCCAGTAGCCTCTTCCTGCGAACCACTCCCCAGTGGAACCGATTTCCAACAAACAGGATGTTTCCCTGATCTCTACAATCTTAACCTGTTCAAGGCTAGGGTGTACTGTTATCCTCCACTCCTATATACACAAAATGGCCTCCAAACGTAACCCTCTACATCGACTCGTCCCCGGAACTTGTAAAGGATGAACCTCGTTGTAAAACAAAATTTTAATTAATATATAGCCTACCTAGGGCAATGGGTCTTTATTCCCATTGAATTTTTTTTATTCACAGATGAACGGTTAGGTCTTCTATGATTGGTTGCCAATTTAAATCAAAGCCATGTAACCGATTTTCAATTTATATTTATATTCAAAACGTCTTCATACTTTCCGAACAAACCTCGTAGATGTCCTTATTCTGTCAGTCATGCTTGCATTAATTTTTAATGGTAATGTTGATGATAATACTTGCCGTTTCCTTATAAGGAAATATTCGGCATTCATGAACCGAGCAGCCAGTGCTACTTTCGGTCGAAATTTATAAAATCTTCCTATTAAAACAGTTTTTCCGGAAAATAGGTTAAGTCCAGTAGCTGTTATAGCTCTTCCCAGAGTAAGTGAGCGGGGATTTTCCTTCCTAACCTTTTGTTAGATTTAGTGTGGAACATCAACATCTTGATTAGATCATCATTTTCTGTTCGTGTTACATGTAATATCCATTTTAGTTGTTGCGGCTGTTGAAAGTCCTCAAGTGATGTGGTTTCTTTTATTTGGTAAAGTCAGTTTTTTTGTGATTCTATAATGCCAGTTCACAAGGTTCAAAGAAGGATGACCCCCCCCCACTAAGACCTACAGGCTTCATTCGCGGGAAGCCATATTTATCCATTTTTCTGAGAAAGCGGTTGCCTACAACTAACAGTTATATATATATATATATAATGTATGTATGTATGTATGTATGTATGTATGTATGTATATATATATATATATGAACGAGCTTAGCGCCATGCATGACATCCATATGAAAGTGTCGATCTGAAGAAGCTCTTTCGGAACATGACTCGAGTCTTTTTGCTAATGTTTTGGTTTTGTAGCAATTTGCGTTGTTGAACAAAACTACGCCTGGCACAGCCTATTTTCTTATCTCTTCTACTAGAATTGTTTTAACTGATCCATACACCAACGTATTTGATGTGTTTATTATGCATTTTTACAGTAAAATTCTTTACAATTAATTTCTATATCAAAAATCATTTATAATATATTGTGAGAGCATTTCAGATGCATTGACATTGTACATATAAATAATAATACTCTATCAGCAGCCATTTCCTGACCATTGACAACGTGTCTCTTCTCATTTTTAATTTTAACAGTTGTGTTTATTCAATATCAGTTGCACTTTCTGACTCCTGAAAATCCGTTTGTTCGTAATTTTCAATATATATTTCTATAGTAAAAAATATTTTTGTTGTAAATTTATTTTCAATGCGTTATATATATATATATATATATATATATATATATATATATATATATATATATATATAATCCTGTCAGTAGCACTTGAAAATTATTTTCTTTTCGATTTTCTATGCACATCTGATTGCTAAGTTTAGATAAAAAAAAATCTATTTTAAATTTGTTCACTGAAAGGACAATGTGGTTCGTTATGGAAGCTTGTGTTTATGTGAAAATTTTCTAAACAAAAAATAAATCAATAAATAAAATCCAAACCATGAGATAATTTTTCTTTGTCTTTTTCAGGCATACTTCTCAGCGGTTTTGCAACATTTGCACCGAAATTCATCGAGTCTCAGTTCAGCCTTTCTGCATCAGAGTCGGCAGTCTATGTCGGTGAGTGGTTTCGATTATTACTTCCTCCCAATAAAAAGAAAACATAATTTCACTTTAGGAAATTATTTTGGGACACTTTCAAATCCCACACAGAATTTGCATTTAAGTTTATTGACAGCAATAGAAGTAAACAATATTATGTTTCGCCAGCATTTGTGCGGGAAGTATGGCTATCATAGAAGCAAAGATTTGAAATTGTGGTTTTTACCTGGGTTCGAACACTTACCTAAAGCACCTATCTCATCTACTAATCACGCATATACAGATTTTCACTGATAGAAAATGATACCGATAAGTTTAAACTGAAATGTTGTGAGGGATTTGTTTTTTACTATTTGTCAACCCATTGTGGGATATTTATTTCCGAAAAATATTTTGAATTGTAAAAGTAATTATTTTTAAAATTCTTTCTGCGAATGAATATTGCATTAACAATATTTTTGGAGTTAATAATTTTTCCGGATATTCTACTATTTAACCCACAGTTAGGGGAGAAGGGATAGATTCATGATTTTTCTAAGAGTATTTGTGAATGCGACGATATCGACTGGTACAATTCTCAATTTTATTAAAACAAAATTATTTTTTTAAATATTTTAATTTGTGCTAAATTTCCAAGGATTGATTGTAATGATATGCCAAGTAATTAAAAACCGCCATGGATATTTTGAGTTTCTTTCTCGTCTATAAGAATCTTCTATTAAGAAATTTCACAAAATCCCAGCAGAAAAACATAAGCAGGATGGAGGAAAAGTGTGCTTGAAGAATATTGTATTTATTTTTTTTTTTTAGTTAAATAATCTTTTTCCATTTGGAATTAGGTTCAGATAATTGACGCTAGTCTTTGAAAAGCTACCTTTGGTTCAACGCTATCTTCTGTGCCGTAACCAAATTAATTAAGGACCGCGTTTATCTATCAGCTGGTTTCTCCGCTTTCATTATCCCAAACACCAGCTTCTTTTTAGTCCTGAAGATAAAATCTCATGTGAACTGTTATGTATTTGATAGCTTTTTTATCTATCTAAAAGTTTTATTGAAGGCAAGATCTTAAGCAAAATACTGTTAGTGCCTCATTCACTCAGCATTAACAATGGGTACCAGCCAGTTTTAAATGCTACAACCACAACCATTAAAATATTTGAACACTTGTTTGTATCAAAAGCCGAAAGATACAAGATTATTGCTACCTTGTAAAAAATGTAAAAACAGAGAGAGAGAGAGAGAGAGAGAGAGCGAGAAAGAAAGAAAGAAAGAGAGGGACGTAGACAGAGAAAAAAGAGAGTGCGACACAGAGAGGGATTGGAGGGATGGCCACCTTAGCTAAAGGGGTTAAATCATGTTTCATGACCTAACGATCTGTTGAGGACATTTTAGCAATTTTAAGAGAGGCTGTCACTTTTCTTATAACTATCTGGGAATGGTCATTGGGCGAAAAATACAGTGTGCAGCAGTAAACAATTTATTAGTAAATCTATGTAATTTTATTAGTAAATTTGTGTAATTTACATGAGTCCTGATAATATAAATATATGTTGAGCATTCAAGGGAGAAACAGAAAGAGAAGGTGACAGAGAGAGTAAAACAAAAAGAGTGATATATATATATATATAGATACAAAAAGAGAGGGTGACACGGAGAAGGATTGAAGTGGGGGTCATCTTAGATGAAGGCAGTTATTTGTAGTGAGGATTTACATCATGAATTGTGTCCTAACGGTCGGCTGAAGACATTTCAGTATTTTTAAGGGAGATGTCAATGGTCATCAGCCAAAAAGTACAGTGTGTTGTATTAAAAAAATGTATCAGTAAATTCGTGAAATTTACACAGGTTCTGCTACTCTTTTAGAACCTTTTCAAACTTCTGACTTATTGTTTTTCGTTTCATTTTTTTTTTATTTTCACAGGTTATGTCGTGGTACCTGCCGGAGGGGGAGGTACATTCTTAGGAGGAGTACTGGTGCGCATGCTCAAACTGAAAGTTCGCGGCATTATCCGAATGTGCCTCATTCTCTCGTTGATTCTACTTCCTCTTTTGCTCATCTTCCTCTTACGGTGTCAAAACAACCGATTTGTTGGTATTAGCGTACCATACAACGCCCCAAATAGGTTAGTATTCACAGACGTCTTATAGTTATCATTTTGGGATCTATGTTCAAAGCCATATTGTTAAGGCACTTACGAAGAACCACAAGCAGTTGGAATTGTTTGCAGATGTTGTAATATATATATATATATATATATATATATATATATATATATATATATATTATTGGCAATTAGAAAACGTCCATAAAAGTATAATGTCCTGAAATTGAACGGTTTCCAACTGTCAATAATTTATAACACCTGCCGGGATTATATAGCCCAATTTGTAACACACACACACACACACACACACACATATATATATATATATATATTAATAATTTCACCCCAAGCAAGGCAATAAACCCACTAAGATGCAAATGGTTAATGATAATGATAATGATAAAATATACGAAAAAGAAAAACATTATTAGGGAGAGCAAACAATAAAAGGATAGGAATTAGACAAGCGTTAACGATTGACATTGCATTTCAATTTTTGAAGATGAAAGTTGACTGGTAAACCAGGATTCGAAAGAAAGTCCCAAAAGCGAGAATTGCGAGAGAATAAACTATTAACATAGAAGTTACAATTTAATCTAGCAAAGAACAATTCACCAGAACAATTACCATGAAAATATTTATAGAAAATGCACAGGGAAGCTACGTTACGACGGTGATAAATTGACTGAATCCGAGATGTCAGGTCAGGACCGATAATATTGTAGATTCTTCTTTGTATTTTATCAAGGGTCTATAAATACGTAACAGAAAGACCAGACCAGATGTAGCAGCAATATTCAATGCATGGACGAATGGGAGATATATAAATTGGCAAAATGATTTTTTTTTAAAATTATTTCGCACAAAACTGTGAACCAGTTTTCCGAGCAGCAGACTTAGCAATTGATTCAATATAATCTTCTTGTCAGCAGAAAACGATAGCCCGAGAAGGCTCAATGTGTCACTCACCTGGCGGTTAACATCAGCCATGCTGATTAAAAGCAAAACAACAACAACAAAAAAGGATTTCTAAGATGATAAAAAGAGAGAAGAATTTTAATCCTTTACAGTACACAGAGACAGAAAAATCAAAGCTAATCACCTAGATATTGTGATCAAAAACCACAAGAACAGAATGTGCTTTCTTATTGACTGCAGGCTGTAATATTACCTTTGAAGATCTTCAAAACCTATCAAAATACAACGATCTTGAAGTGGAAATCTCAAAAATGTGGCGCATGAAGATATCAATAATTCCAGATGTAGTTTGAAGGTCTCGGATTAATTGGAAAAGGTTCTCATAGATTCATTAAAGGGATCCTTGGTAAACTATACCTTAAAGAAATAAAAAAAAATTGTTCTCACAAGGCTACCAACTTACAAAAGGCTTTATCTATATAAAATGTGTGTGATCTTAGATTGTTTTATCTTTATTTTTATTTTTTTTACAAAAATGTTCAGTGGAACATATGATGACATCTCTGACCTTAGATCTCCGGTTGGGACCCGGAAGGAAATGAGTATACAACAGAAATCAAAGGAAATAATAATAATAATAATAATAATAATAATAATAATAATAATATAACAACAGAATGAGCTAATATGTTATCGCTTCTAACTCATCAGAACTCAATTGAGGAAAGTAGTTTTTCTGCCTAATCAGAAAGAAGATATAAAAAAAAAACATACATTCCTATCAATAATATATTAAAACGGGTATATCTTTTATAGACAAATCATTCAGTCCTAACAACTATTTCACTGAATGTGATTTGTTTACAAAAACTTTCCTCGATTGAGTTCTGACGAGTGAGGAGTGATAATCGGTTAGCTTATTCTCTTTTTTTTTTTCTTTTTTCTTATTCTTTCTCTTTCTTTTATTAACTTTTCTTTCTTTCTTTGTCTATTATTAATTTTCTTTTTTTTATTTCTCTTTTATTATTTTTTCTCTTTTAGTATTCTTTCTTTCTTTCTCAGCTTGTTCTTTCTTTCTCTTTTATTATTATTTTGATCTTTCTTTTTTCTTTCTTTCTTTCTCAACTTCTTATGCTCTCTTTCTTTCTTTCTCTTTTATTATGCTCTCTTTTTTTCTTTCTTTCTTTCTTTCTTAGCTTGTTCTTTCTTTATTTCTCTTTTATTATTCTTTCTTTCTCAGCTTGTTCTTTCTTTATTTCTCTTTTATTATTCTTTCTTTCTCAGCTTGTTCTTTCTTTCTTTCTTTCTCTTTTATTATGCTTTCTTTCTTTCGCATTGCCAACTACCAGAGTTGATTTCCCTTCTTGTCCATTTTAATTATGTCTATTCGTGTAGCTGTTATTAAATTTCAAATATTATTTAATATTTCTTTCTTTATTTAATTATTTTTTATACAAATAATCAATGTCACTTAGTGCGGCTTGTTTTTTATGCGTCTTCTTTGATAAACTTGTCTAGCTTTATTGTTTTTCCTTTATTAACACTTTGTCCCTTCCATTATCTTAAGTGCTACCATTAATTACTACAATTAATAACATAATGAAAAACAAATTGACTATTTCAGGACGACGACTCCATTTTTGGTTGGTAATCTAAATGCCGAATGTAACATAAATTGTCACTGTACTGACGGAGACTTCGATCCAGTGTGTGGACGAGATGGCTCCGTTTATTTTTCCCCATGTCATGCTGGCTGTAAATCCGTTCTGCCTGGCCCACAAAAGGTAAGTAATAAAAAAAAAAAAAAAAAAAAACAGTTCAGTATCAAACGAATTACTTAACCTGACCACCGAGAAAACAAATTAGATTGGGACTCGAGACATATTTTTAAACCTTTTACCTCAACATCTGTCTATATTTTTGAGATGAGCTATTGCAACTATTTACACTATTTATATCGTTCGGACTGTTGCCTTCATCTTTATTGCAATATTCACGACGTTTCGGCCGTTGCAAGCTCCGGCCTTCTTCAGATGGTATACATTGGAATTTCGAATCCTTTATTTACCACACACACACACACACACACACACACACACACACACACACATGCACGCGCGCGCGCGCACACACCGGTGTTTCATGCACAAAGCAATTTTCAGACACAGAGTATAGAATGACCGTTACGTAATTTAAATTTTAATAAAAAAAATATATGGTTAGCAAAATGCTGGCGCAGTTTATACGGGGATTATCGTGGTATAGGTGAGGGATAATATCTACAGGGTGCAGTGGTTAAATTGTCACCATTTTATATTTTTCATTTCGCGCAAGCGAGTTCTTTGTTTTTTTTTGTTTTTTTTCATTTTGTCGACTTCATAGGGTCAGTTGGACATCGTCTGTGAGAAAAAGAGCCCCATGATGCAATTCACTTCGCCAGAAATTTGGAAACGGCATGCTGTACTGCTTGGAATTCGCGCAGGAAGCTTCAGTACGAACATTTCGGAGTGTTTGGGTGTCAAACTGAGGATAGTGCAGAGAATTCAGAAAGAAATGGATGAGTCTAATGGTGATTACGATGGTGTCTGGAGTAATCACGAGTGATGGCGACGTTATGCTCCCATTCATCTCCCCACAAGGTCTCAGACCGAACACGTTGGTGAGGAGGTATTGCTGCACTGTATCAAGAGTGTGGCTGCTGAAAGATCCTTTGTCTGGCAACAGGACTCTGCACCATGCCACACAAGCAGAAGAACCCAGTCATGGCTGTCAGACAATTTCTGCGACCACATCACCCCTTGCATCTGGCCACCTAACTCCCCAGACTTGCAACCTCATTGATTATTATGTGTGGGGCGCAGTTGAGCAAGAGGCCAACAAAACTCCTTGTAACACCAAAGATGATCTCAGGTCAAGGATTATGGCAGCATTTTAATTTAAACAAGGAAACCATCCAGAAAAGTTGCAGGAGATTCCAAAGTCGTCTGCTGATATTTTTGTGTAATAGTTCTGTTAAAATGAGATGTCAGTGTTATTTTCATTTTTGCGTCATTTAGACGACAGTTTATCTATCGCACCCTGCATATTTATTAATATATACTTAATAGTTCTGTTCGAAACGTTGTGAATATGGCAATGAAGATGAAGATAACAGTTTGAATAATATAAATAATGTAAATAATCATAATACCCCATCTCAGAGATATAGACAGCCATTATATCACTAGAAGCTAGTCACTGGATCTGAGCAACGTCTTTATCCACTGTTCCATGTGTCCTTGTGAATATGGCAATAAAGATGAGGATAACAGTCCGAATAATGTAAATAATGCAAGTAATCATAATACCTCATCTCAGAGATATAGACAGCCATTATATCACTAGAAGCTAGTCACTGGATCTAACCAACGTCTTTATCCACTGGGCCATGTGTCCTTGTGAATATGGCAATAAAGATGAGGATAACAGTCCGAATAATGTAAATAATGTAAATAATCCTAATACCTCATCTCAGAGATATAGACAGCCATTATATCACTAGAAGTTAGTCACTGGATCTAACCAACGTCTTTATCCACTGGGCCATGTGTCCTTGTGAATATCGCAATGAAGATGAGGATAACAGTCCGAATAATGTAAATAATGCAAGTAATCATAATACCTCATCTCAGAGATATAGACAGCCATTATATCACTAGAAGTTAGTCACTGGATCTAACCAACGTCTTTATCCAGTGGGCCATGTGTCCTTGTGAATATGGCAATGAAGATGAGGATAACAGTCCGAATAATGTGAATAATGCAAGTTCCCCTAAAATACTTTTAAAATATTTCAAAATTTGAGAAAGAATCATTGTTCACTAATCACGCCTTTTTTCTGTCTTTTTTACGATTTTTAGTCTATTAATTGAGCGATGCTTAGAATACACCGACCGCATTCCCTGTAGAAGGGTAACAACCCCCCCCCAACTAAAAGGGAGAGAACCTTCTTGGTGGATCTTTATAGATATTTACTCATGTTTTTCTTCTTTGATCTTTGCAGAGGTATAGTAATTGTAGTTGTATCCATGCGAACAACGACACCAATATGGGTTACATGGCAGAAAGTGGCAAGTGTCCGACACAGTGCAGCAAGTTGTCTCTCTTTATGCCGATCTTTGCAATTGTCATGCTAGTGACATTTATTATCAGTATGCCTGCCTTGACAGCGACATTACGTTGTGTGCCACAAAAGCAGCGATCTTTTGGCCTTGGAATCCAGTGGATTGTGGCAAGATGTTTAGGTCAGTGCCTCTTTATTAATAAGTCTTAGATTAAAAAAAAAACAAAAAAAAACTTTACAATAATCTAAATTTTATGAATTCCATGAACGATTTTTTTTCCTTCGATAATTATATTTTTTTTTTTAAATTTGAAAAATCGAAATATTATGAAATTCATGAACGATAAATTTTTCGTTTTTTTTTATCGATAATTATATTTAAAAAAGAAAATTAAAAAATTGAAATTTTATGAATTATATGATCGATTATTTTTTTTTCAATAATTATCAAAAAAGGGTTATTTTATGAATTCGATGAACGATAATTTTTTGTTTCTTTTGTCGATAATTATATTTTTAAATGTTTTTAAAAAATCGAAATTTTATGAATTTCACGAACGATAAATATTTTGCTTTTGTTTTTGTTTTTTGTTTTTCGATAATTATATGTTAAAAAGTTTAAAAATCCAAATTTTATTAATTCAATGATCGATTAGTTTTTTGGGGTTTTTTTCTCGATAATTATAAAACAAAAATCTGTTTAAAATAATTAAAATTTTATGAATCCTATTACCAATTTTCTTTCTTTTTTCATCAAGTAATTTATGGAATGCTAAACATGTTTACCATTTAAACATTTCACTTTGCTTTTGTTTTCTTGCAGATGTGAACATTCTATAATATATTCATACAATATACCAAAATATGAAATGTTGTTAAATATTTTTTGACGTTTCAAAAATTAGCATTTTTATTATTCCAAAAATTATTTGCACTAGTATTCTCTCTTTGTTGCTTATAGCACAACATTTCGGCCGGAGAATATAGCGGCTGAACTATAATAAAAAAAAAACTCTCAAGGATAAGATAATAGTCTGAATAATTTGTGGAATAACATCTGAGTCTCTTTAAAGAACAAATCGCAGAAATCTTGTCAGTTTTCAAAGATCTGAAACAGGAAAATAAAAAAAAAATGTTTCTTTTAAAATGCATTACTGTTTGGTTACGTACTGTATATTTCCGCGTATCAGGCGAGCTTTAGATAAGACTAGATCAGAAAATATAGCAAATTTTCATGAATTTATCCTATACCTGTAGTATAAGACGACTGCTTATTGATTATATAAAGATGCTGCTACTGGAAATGTTACTTACTCTATCCTTAAAAATTCAAAATAAACGAAATTCAAAACTGATTCTATATCATGTTTTTCATACACACGTCCCATAAAACGGAAACCATTGTTTTGTTTTCGTTTCATCACGTGATCTCTTGCGAATACTGACTCTTTTTTATTTCCTATATCTAAATGTACTATTTTTTTCGGTGTATATTTTTTTATTCATTCTATTTCTCGCTTCTGTCGAAGCCAGTTGAAATTTCTTATTAACTTATACTTATTCATATATGAATATTATGTTATCTTACTGTCGTAATTAACACTAACATGATGATTATTGAACGTTTAGCAGTGAATGCAATCATAACTCAATGTTTACATTTTCTCAGCTGAGCTTGCATGGATACAAGTTTCTTTCATTGATATGGAATTATTGTTCGAATAGACAATTTATTATGAAGTTATGCCAGTGATATATTAGGTAGAAATGGTTCTATTCCTTTTTATTTCAATTTATTTGGCAATGTCAATCTTTTCATGTACGCTATTGGTAATCGGACTGAGGCTGAGGTTAGCCTATCGACAAACATCACTCAGAATTTAAGGTTACTTTTTTCGAACTGTAGTATAAGACGATCCCAATTTTTAAGCGTGATTTAGGAGATTTCGTCTTATACGCGGAAATATACGGTAATATGAAAAGTTTTCTCGTGCTGTCAAAAATGATGGACTATTTAAGTTTCTGATATTTTACAAGCACAATTTAATTACAAAATTACTGTCCATTTTTTCAGCAAGCTAAAGCATAATTTAACACATGAATTATTGCATTTGTCATTTTTAAAACAACATAAAAATTCTATTTCCAAATCATCTGAAGCATTCTGTAAACAAATATCGGCAATTTGCCAATCACTACGTAGTAGACTCTTATGGTGACGTAGAAAAGTGTCACTCACCTGATATATATATATATATATATATATATATATATATATATATATATATATATATATATTATTGTTGGCTCCCGTTCGCTTCCGAGCATCGGGATCGTCATCCTATCCCTTTATTCCCTTTTTCTCTCGCGGTGGCGGTGGCGGAGATGGCTGTGAATGAAAGGGAGTCTGACGATGCCATTCACGAGAATTTGATTTTGGTGGACAACTCTGCGCGACGGAAAAGCCCACACACTTGGTCAAAAGCGCCTCCCCCTCGGTTCAGTGGGGATTGAGACAGGCGAGATCTGGCAAACTTGGTTGCATCGGGGTCTGGGGGTGCTTGATCTGTCAAGGTGCTACTTGGTTGCAGCAGCCAGACTGGCGCTGCCCTCTTCTGACCGTTTAGCCGTTGAGATTGCGTGCCTATTCCCCTATTGGGGTTTTCGGGGGGGTTGGTCGTATTCTTCTTCGCGCGCGCCTCTGTGTGTATGTGATTATCTCTCGTCGATTTCGACGTATGAATGTCGAAATCGACGGAAAGATTTCATTATTTATATAAAAATGTGTATTGGAACAACAGTGGGCAAATGAATGACAAAATGGAAAAGTTATTTCTGGCGGGTTTCATTCTTAAAAAGGACTTCTTCAGACAAGTAAATGTCCTATTTATGAAATTAGTTCCCTTTCAATACTTTTTTGCTTTAATAAAGAAAAAATATATAAACATAAAAAACTGCATGAAATACATCTGACTCTCGAAATTTTAATTTCGAGGCTGAGCGTCTCCACATCTTTAACGTTTCGATGTAATCTGTAACCGGCGTTTGTTATAGTTCTCTCCATACCTTCTCCACCGATTGATATATAATATCGATTCCATCAAGAAAATATTTTTGTAGAAGTTCTTTCTCAGAATAAAATGTGTCATTAGTAAGTCTTCCATCTTGCCATTATTTACCCAACCTTATGTTTTATGTATTGTGATCCTTTAGGACGTGGGTGATAGTGGCTCTCCACAATTTCCTATCATTGGAGCTTTGAGCAATGTTTGTCCCTTTACTATCCACTCCGGTCATTGTTCTGCCATCCATTTACACAAGCTCGTTAGCTAGGTTAGTCAGTGTTTCATTCTGTCCCTTCCTTTTATATCTTCTGAATATCAAATTTCCCGAACCTTCTTTCCTCAGTATGTGTCTCAGAGATTTCAACTGTCTCTTTCTGAGCCTAAGTAAAAATGTCCCCTTTTTTTTATCCCATTTTCCTTAAAGCTTCTTCGTTACTCGCATGTTCTGCGCATGGTATTCTCAGCCTTCTTCTGTAGAACCACATCTCTGTTCCGCACTACGTATTTGGCTACATACATAATCTCGTTACGAAATTACGTGGCTGCCGACAAATTGAGAGCCACTCCACGTTGTCGCAGATGTGTTTTTTTAACCAAATCCCAGTGCAATTATACTGTTTAAAAGAAAGACAAATAGAATAAATAAAAGTAACACAGCTTCTCCTACCAATTCATGTTGCTTTGATAGGAAGGCCTGTTCACAAGCGTTTGCTAAAAGATTTCTGATAGCAGAACACGTGTTTGTAATTTCTTTTTATCTTAATTAATAGCTCATTAATGTCATCCATGCATGACTAGAAGCCCTTTTGTGCTGTCAGTGCAAAATAAGTATTCTGTTGGTAAAGATTTACAGCAGTTTCGTCGGTCTCGTCAAACTAATTTAACATGATGCTTTTTTCTTTTATAAGTTATGGTCGTTGTTGACGACTTAACATTTGTTTTTTTTTGGGGGGTGTTTTGTTTTGTTTTGTTTTTTGCTTTTTGGGGTTTTTTTTGGCGGAGTGCGGGGAATTTATCATTTTTGGAGACAGAATAAAAATGGTTAAATATAGTTAAAGTTTTTTAAAAAAACTTGGAGAGTTGACTTACTGAAGGGAAATAACTGAAAATGAGATATCTAGAAAAGCATGGCACGTGGGACTAGAACAATCTACCCCCAGTGGACGAAATAAAAGGTTCGGTTCAAAATTCCAACGTATGTCACCTGAAGAAGGCCAGAGCGTAGAATAACCGAAATGAATGTCGTGAATATAACAATAAAGATGAGGACAACAGTCCGAACAGTGTAGATAGTACAAATAGTTACAATACCTCATCTCAGTTAATATAGACAAATATTTTTATTTCTCAATCAGTAACATTATTATCATTATTTTCAAAGGGAAAAATTCGCTTTGAAAATCACTTCATTTCTTGTTGAAAAAATTGGAAATTCTAATCGATGAATCTGAATTGATCTCTTCCTTGCTTTCCAAGGTTTTGTCACTCGTAATTTTTCCTGGTGAAACATTAAAGGCGATAATCAAATAAATAAAGATGTTGAGAGAGTTCTTTACAATAATTTGATCTGGAGTTCATTTTATTGATCTTGGACTTGTATTGTCATTCTAAAGAATGACACACTTTCTACTGACATTTGAGCATAACTCTCTCTTCTTCATTTGTCATTGTCAATAAAGAACGGTCATCTTTGTCTCACTTTATTTCAAAAGTAATAAATTGTTTATCTAAATATTTAGTCGTTTGGAGAGCAGATAAAAACGTCTCTAACAAATTGAAGTTCTCAAGAACATCAACATTATTATTAACAATGACAAAAAGCCCACAACGAAATAATTTATTTTATTTCTTATCAAAAGAATCTGGTGATTTTGGATGAAAAGGATTCTAATTAAGCTAGATTACTGATGCCTTCTCGACTTTTCACTTTCATAATTTAGAAACTCTTCCGTTGATCTGAATAGCAATCTGACGTTGGCAAGTTCGATAAATACAGATTCAAATTAGATCTTTCTAATTTAGCAATTTGATCTCTTTATTTTCCAATTAATTGGTATTACCATTCTGAAGAATGACGTATTTTCTGTTGACGAAATCAGAGACATCTGAGTGTAAATCTCTTTTCACTATTAGTTCTGTTTAATAAATATCTTTTTTTTTTTTTGCTTATTGAAAGAATTTTTGACAGACGAATTTACGGGTAGTATAACGGTTAACAATACCGAAAGAAAAATTGTCGTGGCGTGTTCAAATTCTGACTGAGTCTGATTTGTTTACTTCGCACTAATACACTAAGAAAAACTATGAATCCCTCATTTCGCACTAATAACCTTGGAAAAAGTATGACTCACCCGTTTCGTCGTTTGTTGGCTCGCAAATCACACCAGTTAATTTACAAAATATATTTGTAAGCCCCTTTAGTATTAATACATATGTTGATACCAACCAAGGCATCTGCGTTTTGTGTAACATTTTCATTATTTCTACACACCTTGAAAACTCTGTCCTTCTTATCCACGGATTTATTAATGTTTCGTATTAACTAATAACGCGCTTTCAGTCTTCTTACCAAAAAGTATTGTTCCTTAAAAAGAAAAAATATGAAAATGAACACCCCACTCAAATCAACTTCCTGGATCTAGTTTTACTATCCGCGGATTCACTGTTTCTATGAGAATGAAAATATAACACATAATATACAACTCCACATCTCGTAAAGTAATGACTCGAAAAATCAAATTTAATAATATAGTGAGATTCTCAATAGGTGCCTCATATCAGGCTAAGCTCAACTTAGTGAATAATATTAAATAATGATATTTTAAAATATATTTGTTTCAACCAGGATTTAGCCACAGACAACATTAAACTATTCTTCAAGAACCATATAACTGTATAATGTAAGAGAAATTAATTCTTACATTATACAATGAAATAACAGTCCGTGGAGAAATTTAGGATATTTTTTTCATTTTATTACTTTACAATTTTCAGCTTTTTAAAATTTTAGTTTTAAATTTTAGCTTTAAAAATACCAAGTTATCCCAATAACTAATAAAGTCGTATTAAGTGTTTTATCAACAGAGCCTTTATCATTTGCTTTGCTATTCAGGATCAGCATGTTGGGGTTATACTCATGACATGACCAGCATCAGGACTAGCATCTTATTGGTTATACTCACGACGTTTCGGTCGTTCTACCCTCCGACTTTCTTCGGGTGTCTGTCTTCATAGTCGATAACCTTCTTGAAATTTTGAACCGAACATTTTATTCAATCCATGCGAATAGAATTGTTCTTTTCCCGCTTTTCATACTTAAGGCAGATAACTCATATCATTTAATGCTTACCAGCCTTATTCGGTCTAAGCAGGGATTGAATTTACAACTGCCAAAGAAACCAATAGGTTTTAACCAACACTTTATCCATGGTCTAGTGGATATGAAATCACCCCTAAACATAGAAAAGGAATAAAAATGGATTGAATTAAAGGGAATCGGTTCGAAATTCCCCCCAAAGTTTGCCAAGTATGAAGACAGACACCTGCAGAAGGCCGGAGGGAATAACGGCCATAATGCTGAGATTATAACAATCAAAATGGACGTGCCGGTCCGAATAGCAAAGCTTAGAGTAATGATAATTCCTCGTCTTAAAAATCCCGACATAGCTCCAAGCTAAAGTCTGAGATAGTGATCTAAACAGATCACTAATAAAATTACCGATATTTATTATATCAAGAAAAACGTGTGGATCTGTCTATATTTCTGAGACGAGGTATTGGAACTATTTACGGACTGCTGTTTTCATCTTTATTGACATATTCACGACGTTTCGGTTGTTGTACGCTCCGGCCTTCTTCTCATGACGTTTTGTTGTATTCTCTGACCTTCTTTCTAGAGAAAAAAAAAAACAACAACAGTAACAGAAAAAAATGATTGCTGATGTATTAGGCTTATAAGTCACAAAAATTAACTCACATGGCCCAGTAAATTGAAGTAATCCAAAAAGTGACTTGACCCAAAGAGTTGTGAGTTCAATATCTGACCACAGCAGAGGAAACAAACACTTGGAGAGTTGAGTTACTAAAGGGAATTGACTTAAACTGAGATATCCAAAAAAGGCCTGGCCCATATGGAATTAGAACAATCTAATCCCGTGGACTAAATAAAGAATTCGGTTCGAAATTCCAACGTATATCACCTGAAGAAGGTCGGAACATACAACGACCGAAACGTCGGGAATATGGCAATAAAAACGAGAACAACAGTTTCAACGACGTAAATAGCGTAATTATAGACGTGTGTGTGTGTGTGTGTGTGTGTGATAATTTTAATGATCAATATTTGAGTAGACACTCTGTTTATTTTGAGACAGTATATTTATTTTCGTCTACCGGCCTGAATATTCGAGAAATCTTATTAAAGAAAAATATATATCCCCTATCTATCTATCTATCTATCTATCTATCTATCTATCTATGCCTGTCAGTTCGTATCTATATATCATGCTCTATGCGCCATCCTGTAAAATTACCGTTTTATTTCTTTTATGTTTATAGAAATATAACTACTTGTAAGAAGCATAAATTACCAATAAGCTTAAAGAAGCTTATTGATATGTTAGCTATTTTAAACGTAGGCTTCCATATAAAATCTTTCAGAACCCTTGTGTACAAATATTGGTAAGAAGAATATTTTGGCTAAAGTTCATTTATTTATCGATATTTATTTTCCTAATTTGACTTCATTTTATTTTTCTAACTGATTTACTGGTTTTGCTTTAATTTTCAGGCTCGATTCCTGGACCCATCATGTTTGGCAAAATGATCGACCTAACCTGCCGTCTTTGGCAGCGGAACTGCTCCGACAATGGATCTTGTTACTTTTATGACAACGAGCGCATGGGGGTCTACCTGATGGCGCTGACGCTGGTTGTGAAGGCCCTGTCGTCGTTCTTCTTCTTTTTAGCGTTGGTCATGTACAAGGCCGCACCCACAAGGAACCACGTGAACATGACCAGCGAGAGTACGTCTTCGGCCCTCTCAACATTTAGCCACCGTACTGTTAAACACGACAATAGCATTCAGACGTGCTTGCAGGATGTCAACGAACAATGCGAACGGACGCTAATGGAAGACTATCCATCACAAACCATTACACCGTGACTACAAAACGGTTAATAAATCATGTACGCACATTGATGCACACATCTACACACAGACACACATATATATATATATATATATATATATATATATATATATATATATATATATATACACGTGTATGTGACCATACTTATATGTGTATTCATATGCGCGTAGCTATGCATATATATGTATGTACATATATAATATATGTGTGTGCATATATAATAAAAAGAGATCTTAGCAAAATTGTACGGTGCATTGCAAATTGTGGACGTCTAGCAGAGGAAGCGACATTTGTTTGAAAGTTGCTTTTTCCTTAAGTGAATTCAAGACAAAACAGTTTGAATGTACTACTATAAAGAAACAATGGGCATAAAATTCCAAGTTTTACGGATTCAAAAATACATTTACACAGAAAATATCTTTTATTTTTTTCTTTCTTAAAAAAGACAAGGAAATATCTTTATGCAAACAAGGACTTTTCTTAAAATCTTTAAAAATGATTGATTTATTTGGATGTCCATTTTATTTTAATTTTTTCTTTTTTTTTTTTTGGTAAGATTGGTATGAATTGGAATGGTATATGATTTGGAGTGGTTTGTTATAACATATATATCATTTTTTTTTTTTTTTTTTTTTGAGTGGTGTTGGGTTTTTATAAAATTAGTCTCGGCAACTTTTGGCAAAGCATCAAGTATACAGAACAAGACAAGACAATTTAAAGATTTGACTCCGAGAGCTGATTCGGGAGTTATAATGACCAAAAATACGAACACAAAATCATTAATCTATGTTAAGATAGACTACATAGTTTTTGTTTGTTTCTTTCTTCCTTTTTATAACGCAAAAACGATATTCTTGATTTCTAAAACACTATGTCTAATTTAGTTCAACACAAACCGATTCTAAAATTACCAAACTTTAATAGAGAAGCCGCGGAAACATGGCGATACGTAACATTAAGGCTTGATTGTGAAACTGAAACACATGAAAATTGCGATATATATATATATATATATATATATCTTGGAGAGGAGATGGGTGCCGCCATGCTATTTGAAAGCCAACTGAAAGGACCATGAGGAAGAAGAATAAGAAAGGAACACCATGTCGGATCGACAGATAACCCTGAACAGGGTTGTCTGTTTCTCCTACCCTCAGGTCCCCACCCCCCGGCGATTGAAGCAGTCGTGGTACTGATGATCATATATGTGTGTGTATTATCATCATCAATATCATATACATTTATATATATATATATATATGTGTGTGTGTGTGTGTGGCACAGAACTGTTCGGAAACAATCGATATTTATGTTAGCGCGAAGTCAAAAGTCATCGTGACCGAGGGTTTGTACGTGATAGCTTTGTTCAAATTGTTCATCACACCAGATTATGCCCTCTCTCCCAGAAACTGTAACTAAGGTCAGCTCAGTATAAGTGCAGTATAAACTACAGATGGTGGTCTGAGGGTGTTGAATAAGCACGCATGTGTGCGAACGGGTGTCTGCATCAGGGATCAGCTAGCCACCCCAGAAGGCGAGTGTACTCGAAAAAACGAGCAGCATTCAGAAAGAGGGAGGACAGAGAAAGAAAGAGAGAGAAAGAAAGGGGAGGAGATGCTAATAGATAAGACGGTACCAGTGAGAACACGCCTATTATCACACAGTGTCACACACACACACACACACACAGAGAGAGAGAGAGAGAGAGAGAGCTGCCCTTACTTTTCTGTTGAAACTAGAATTTCAAAAGGACGGAGGAATTTGAATGAAAGCGGTGACTGGAATCTTTTTTAATAATTTTTTATAATTTTCATTAACAAAACATTTTGTCCGAGACTGCTCATAGTAAATTAAAGGAAGAGAGAACATTTCCTAACTATTTAATAAGAGGGGTGATTGGCATAAGAATGTCCTGGGCTAATTTTCCCCAAAAAAATGAATAACAGTCCCGACCCGTTTATTTAAATCTCAAAGGTCATTAAGGGTATATATATATATTTATATATTGGCTGGGGTTTGGGTTAGTGAACTTTTCTAGTAGACCATTAATATAGAGTGAATTCGATTCTACACGCGCACACACACACGCGCACACGTACGCACGCACGCGCGCATGCCATAATTTTTGTTAATTTTGGGGAAATTCAGTAATTATTAAACGTATTTTCGCGTTCTAAAATGATTAAGAAGCAACCATAAAACATATTAACTCTTATACTCGTGCATTCTTATAGCATTGTTACCTGACTGTGCTGGCCCATTTAGGAAATTGTCACCGGTTTGGTTTCGATTGTATATTCTTCAATACAGACTAAGTTAAACGACACTCCTTACACAAAATAAGTTATACTTTACAAAACAGGCTGAATTGTGCGCTAATATAGGTCTACACTGGTTCGGAGACAGCAATGCAAGCAATGATTAGTTATAACAGAAACGATAGGGAAATTAGTCTTAAAATCATGTATATGCATCGACAACGGGCAAGCTAAGTTTTGCAATGACGTATAAGTACGCACACAACATATATTATAAATTCAATCGCACTAACTTTCTGATGAACGGATAGCATCTGCGATACTTTAAGTCGAGAGGATAAGTTTTTAAACTTATTTGTTTACCACACACAGACGCACACACACACACACACATATATATATATATATATATATATATATGAAAGAGAGAGAAAAATGCAATGTTGATTTCAGTGTCCACCATGAGTCTATATCGGAGATAGACGTAGACAGTGTAGATATACATATGTTTGTGTGTGTGCACGCGCGTGTGTGATGTGAATAATCAGTGAAAGACAAATCTTTTATACATGTCACATGCGCAAAGATGTTTTTAAAAAAATTTGTAAAAATAGCCCAAATAGAAAGGGAGATGATCACACCTCGATATACCAATATCAATTAATATTCGATTTTAAAAAATCGAAAATTCTAATTGATTTTTCTTAATATTCCGATATTCCACATTCTGAACTCGCTATAAATATCGATTATTAACAAAAATTTAGTCTGAACTCATACTTTTTCAAGCACATTTTTCTTGAATATACATATATATATATATATATATATATATATATTTTTTTTTTTTTTTTTTTCTTGAATATATATATATGCGCGCGCGCGCGTTTATGTGTAAAATTGGATGAAAATCGGACGGGGAGGTAAATATATAAAACAATTTGTAACATTTATACTTTACCATATTTCGCATCACCAGGAAAAGAAGTTTATTTAACAAATTCTACATTTGTGAGACAAAACAGGGTTCGTGTTAATCGGATAATCGCTTGATATTTACTTTAACTGTATCGTTATAGAAACAAACATGAAATAGGTCCTTCAAATTTTCCATCCGAACAGACAGAAATGAATCCGTCAAGTTGAAAAAGTATTTTAACTTATAATAGGTACAATAGGTACTATATATATATATATATATATATATATATATATATATATATATATATATATATATATATATATATATATATATATATATATATATATAAATAAGAGACAAAACAGATTTGGTAAAACTTCACAGTTCGTAGCATTTATTTTTTAAAAAAAGTTCTCCATACAAAGTAGAGCAAAATATAATATTTTTATTATAATAGATAATAATAAAAATATTTCACACAGCTACACAAAATATTTCATGTTTCAGTACTATGATTGTACTTCTTCAGGCGATGGTAGATAACATGATAAAAAAAAAATATTTATTTGGGAAATTTAAAAACAAATCGTTACCTTTTTTCAGAAGTTAGTGAGTGGAGGGCATAAGGTCAGAATTTAACTTCCGAAAAGAGGTTACGATTTGTTTTTAAATTTCCCAAAAAATCATTTTTTATCACAAGTTATCTACCATCGCCAGATAATACAATCATAGTATTGAAACATGAAAGCTTTAATATAGTGATTTAAAATGTTTTTATTATAATCTATTATAATATATATATATATATATATATATATATATATATATATATATATATATATATATATATATATATAGGTGTAATGAATATGTGTTTGTAATGTGTATATCTATACATATTTTGTTAAATAATACGAACTACGAACAAGGATTGTATGTTTCGAGTTTTGGGGTTATTTTCTGGAATCGAATATGTCATTCGATATCTTGTAAAAATCTTGTAAATGAACCGGCCAAAATTGTGTTTAATTTTCCGAGTAATTTTGACAGTTGTTGATCTTTATTAAGGAAAGTAGGAAGAAAGTCAAGAGATAGGCAGTGCATCGTTTATGTCGTTAACGCCCTGCAGTTTTAAATGAACGTAGGTTTTATACTGGCTAACTCTCGATAACTTCTTTCCTGAAAACGACCAACTTGTTCATTATACCTATATATATATTTATATATATATATATATATATATATATATATATATATATATATATGCTTACGTAAACATCTTCATATAACTCACAATTTTAGCACGTTCTTTTACATGTTACCTCCTGTCATTAAATGACATTCAACATCAGGAGAAACTCCTGCGAAAGGCTCAAAATAGACAATCCCTGTCCGTTCTACTTAATAATATATATGGGCGGGGGCGCTCGTGCGTGTGTCGTCACGTAAAATATCCTTTGTATAAATCCTATACATGTATCTATGTCTAACTATATTTGGTGGGGGTGCGGATTATGTGGGTATTGTCAGTAAAAGGATGTCCCTAACATGTGTAACCTGTAATTATTATAAAAAAAAAAAAAACGAAAAAACAAGTGAAATATCTGAAGTTCAGAACTAAACTTTAGCCATTGTTCGATAAATTATTCGAAACAATATTCTTGCTTTTATTGTTTTAGTCATTACGTTTGGGCCGGTTTGCTCTCCGACCTTCGTTCTGGCCGTCTTCAATAAGAAAGAAGAAAAGACTTCCAGTGACAGAAAAACATTGGTTGAGAATTGAGAAGTTTTTGTTATTTTTGATATTGTCAGATACTGCATAAGAAAAAAA